CCCCCCCCCCCCCTCCAAAAAAAAAAAAGATAACTGCAGAAAGGTCGAAAAAGAAAAAAAAATTGTTGTAAGGTGTTCCACTTTTTAATGGACAACATTGAAATCACACTTCATATTCATTATAAGGGATCATAGTTTAGTACCATCCATTCATTTTGATAATGTATTTTTGTGCTGTTCTTGCATAATTTCACAGCTTCCCATCTTGACCGATTATGTAGAAGTTGGGAAGCCACTCTACTTTTAGCTTCTCAAATTCACAATTCCTTGTTCTGTTGCAAAGGGAAAAAATTTTATGGCTTCCTTTGGAGATACCATCTCATGATTTCTTGATTCTCATTTTATGATAATCTATATCACCTCAACAACAACAAAAAAAAATTCGGTACTACACCAAAAATGATGAACGAATTTTTACTTCGCATCCTTAAATATTAAATTTCTCGCATTGTATCCTCAATGTATCAAAAGTATTGTAATGTGATCTTTCTGTTAGTTTTTTTGTCAGTATCAATAGGTTGATTTTTGACAAAAAAAATAACGGAAGTTAACAGAATAAGTCATATTGCAACACTTTTGATATATTGAAAGTGTAATATAAGAAATTTAATTTTTGAGGTGTAAAGTGAGAATCTTGAAATCTTTTAGGATTCAAAGTACAAAAGTTTGAAAATGATTAAGAACCATAAATCTTGGTTTGATGCATTTATAGCCATTGATTTTAAAAATAATAAAGGAAATAATAAAATAGTGTACCTTTACACGTTTTATTAGATAAAAAGTGTTGGTGTAGTTTTGGAAAATAGGAAAACTATTTGAACTTAAAAATTTGATTTTATTCGTTGGCCTGACTCTACCTTTTGGATTAACAGTGGGTTCTGTCAAACAAAGAAATTTGCTCTCCATCTAATGGTTTTAATGAAATCACATTAACAGATCAACAAATATAGTCAATTTTTTAAGTTTGAATAGTATTACTAGATGGGAAGTTATTTTTTGGTACTATAGTTGGACCCTTTATAGTATGAGATGAAGTTAACCTCGAGTCGAGACTACTTTCGACGGCGAAAGGTTATCTATCTTACATGAATTTTGTATTTGTATTTACAGCAATGCAAGGATGGCCAAGATGTTCATCCTGAGCAAATTAAGGCTGTACTCTTGGATTCAGCTGGCTACCATGGCATGATCTAGATATCTTCAGCACTCAGAATAAGAGTTCCGGCAACTCATTTTCTTCAAAGAATCTGTCTGGTCTTGCAGATTCTACCACCCAGCCAGTTTGACCAATCTGCACTTTATTTCGTTGGTTTAGCTTATATATTATCTTCTGTCAATCTTTTTTTTAACTTTTCTGGAACTTAATAACTAGTAATTCTGGTAGCAACGAAACCTGTAATGCCTTCGATTTTCAAGCTCTAGGATGAGTTTTCCTTTGAATGATTTGTAGTTTCTGTTCTCCAGTGATTTCTGTCTCTGTTTGATTTGAATCTCAAAAAATAATATTCGAAAATTATTTTTGAGAAGAATTTTACAAAAATGTGTTTTTGTGTTTTTTAATAACAGAACTTGTTTGATTATATGATTTTAAAAATAATTCTATGAAATAGAAAAAAACAAATTTGTTTGGACAATAACTCAGAAAATAATAACAAAAATAATATTGTTGTAGTGGTGGTGGTGGTGGAAGTGGTTGTGGTGTTGATGAAAGGGTGGTGGAGATGTGGTGGTGGGAGTGTGATGGTGGTGGTGGTGATGGAGTTTGTGGAAGCGTAGTGGTAGTAGTGGTGATGGTAGTTTCTAAATTTTAAAAAAGCTTTTTCAAAAAATACATAAAACAGATTTAATTTATTTTTTTAAATCTATTAACTTTTTTTTTTCATTTTCAAAAAAACAAAAACAAATAAAATATTACTAGCCAAATAATTTTTCTCCCAAAAACTATTTTTTGAAAGCAAAAAAATAATTTCAAAAATGCAAGCAAAAAGGACCCGAGTTTTTAGCGTTACTGTAATGGTGCAATGTGACGTGTGATCCAAAACAACAAATCCAAGTCCCAATCTACCAAGAAAGAAAATGTAAACACGCTAATCTTGCATTTATCCTGCTAGATACCAGAAAAGAGAAGGTTAATTCGGGTCCAATTTCACCATTGCTGGTTTACACCGCCACGAGAGAGTCGTCAGAATGCAACTGGGAAGCCAACAGAAGTCATATTACGCAAAGTATTTACTTCTTACTCACATCCAAAGCTTGGTAAAGGGTTCTAAATTATTACTCTATACAAGGTAGGGAGCACGAGGCAGCCATCGTCTTGCTAATGATAGGTGTATCTATAATTATATATATACATAGGACGTCGATACAACATCAGCTCCAAGAAAGTGTACAAAATTGCCACTACCGAACAATGCAGCTTCATTTAGGGAGAAACCTGCCAACCAGGAGTTAACGGAATTCAAAAGCCCACATGGATCTCAGTTTTCTCTGATGCCTCCAGCATAAACCTGTCATGAATAGAACAAAATATTAGATGTTTTCAATAGCAGGGGAGAGCACATAGAAAAAGGTTACTATATAGATCATAAAAAAGTTTTACGCAGTATCAGCATGACTCGTATATCTTGAAGCAACTACCTATCGATATAACAGTGGAATCTAATGATTCTCGGGGCTGGATGTTGTAGGCGGATTCTTCGCCTCCTTTGCATCCATGTCTTCTGCAACTAGTGAATTTTCCTCAACCTTTGAATTCAGGGTCCCTGGGTTCATCCGCTGGACCTCCTCTCTAGTGTAGATGAAGATCTTGCGAACGATGCCACAAAATTCCCTGTTCAAACCAAAAAAAAACACCAATTACTGAATGCCTGTCCATGACAGCAATGCATGTAAATGTTTCAGGTAAAATCATGAAATCCAAATGGCAAGAATCAAATCAGACTTTTTTTTTTTGTAAGAAACCGTAAAATCAAGTCAGACTTTTAAACGAGTAAAGGGTGCGAAGATAAGTCCTTACTGCCATGGATCATCTCCAACAAGCATCATATCACCCTCACCATCAGTATATACAACCAGCCAATTCTTGTTGCAAGCCTTCAGTTCACCACCAAACTCAAACAATTGATCTAATTCAGCAATCAATTCATCATAGTCACTGAACTTAGCAAGGTCTACTGATCTACCAAGGGCAATCCCTTGCTTATGAACCTGAAATCAACATCACTTACCTGAGTGAATTATCTCAAACAAGGATAAGCATCAAGGCCCGCAAGGGGGAAAAAAAAAACTAAGCGAATGGATGAGTAAATACCTTAGTACAACTCCTGGTGGAACTACTGTGGACTTTGCCTTGAACATCTCTTGCAGGTGTCTGACAAGTTTGAAAGGGTTTCTCCAGCTCATTACTAACAGGCACATTTTCGGTCACTTTTGAGCCCTTTGATTGTTCAGACCTTTGATCAGATTCAAAGGTAGATTTTGGGTGCATTTCAAGATGTATATGACCTGTTGGCTCAATCACTGTACTTCTATGTGATATGGTTTGCTCCTTTGTAACAGGGTTTCTGATAAGGGGTATACCAAAGAGCTTGCAATTCCCATCTTTAGGTTTAACAGCATCATGCTGTTGTGACGGTGGTTTGGGCATCATTTCTCCTGAGTGAGCAGACATCTGAAGATAAGTTGGAAGTGGTGGAGGCATCAACCAGTTCCCTTGCTGGTGCCCAATCCCATGACCAGGAAGCATGGAATACTCACTAAAACCACTTTGTCTAACATCCCCTTGTGTCTGATAAGGAATATCACTGTCCCGGACACAAGGTTTCATGCTAGGGTCTTCAAATTTAAGAGAGAGTTTGGAAGGATGAATAGACCATGGGTTTGCAAGCGAGTTGAACTTGACTTCTTGATCTGGCAATTGTATTTTCCTTGAATTAGTTTGATCACCAGGTGCACAGAACTCGTGGCAGGATTTGTTTTGTGTCCCAAAACCTGATAAGAGATCTGTAATAGATGAATCAGGCCTCCCTAAAGAAAACCACTTCTCTGATCCACGTCTTCGTGAAACTGATATGTCAATCTTCTCATTGCCTAGTGAAGATGGCCAGAAGATTGGCTTTTCACAAGAATCTGATTCATTACTCTCAGCCAAAGTGCTTCTCAAGGTCGAGGATTCTTGACCTTGCAAGACCCTTGAAAATCCAATTGACGGCGAAGGGTCTACAACTGCTACCTTAAATGAGCCTATATCAAATTCCAAAATTCAAGATCCTTGAACTTTATTCAAACTGGACAAACCAAGTATGACAAACTAAAGAAGCATGAAACTGTCCATGGAGTCCATAATGCACGTAGAGACAGTACCTTCCCTCGTAAGAACAGAAGAATCAGGAGATGAAGGCAACAAGTTTGGCCGAGGTCTCTTCGATCTGAGCACTGGCAGTGGATTCAATGTAGGAGTCGAAGCAGGTTCAGTTTTCCAGGGAGAAACTCTCTCTGGGCGAGGAATGGAAGACGTTTCATCCCATCTCACCTTGAAGCAGCATGAAAAAGACAACTTTCACAACATGCCACAATAAAAGTAATAGCCTGATTTATTGAACGCAAATATACTATACCTTGAGACATCTCCATTTTGATTCTGGCCACCTTTTGGGATCAGCATCTTCAATCCCAACTATGGTTCCACAAAACCTACAAGTTTAAATAACTCAAACCATTAAATGTACAACCATACAACAAAAGAAACAATACTGAAGACTAGTCCCTGGGAATTTCTATTAAAAGAAATAAAATATACCAGCTTCAGCAACATCAACATGCAGTACCATACCTCTGCTCTGGAGCTTCTTCACCTTCAAATCTCATTTTGAACCTCATCCCTATAGAATAATTGTTCTTCACAGACTCCATATACTGATCAAATGGAATGATAAACTCAGCAGGGCTTGTCCTGCAGCGAAATTGTAGTGAGTAGGCTAAAAAGGAGAGTAACATGACTGTTGTATCATTTATATATACGTATGTCTGTGCAACAAAACACTTTTCTGCATTAGATGCTCTTAAAGAATAAGGGACTGATGAAAATCTGTTATGGAAGTTGCTCCATTCAATTAATTGTTAAGAACATTGTCCATTGCAGATGCAGATACATTCATGAAAGCACTTACCTAGGTTTGTAATAGACTGTGAAGAATGTTCTTGTCTGAATAGCATGCAAAGCAGTTGCAAGGACACCCAGATGCATGCTGTGACTGGATATGACCGACGATGGAACGTTCCCCAGCTGTCTCATCGCACGTCTCACCCCAACACGAAGCTCCCCATTCTCACCTCTAGAAGTTTCAAGTTCCATTGATTTCAGATGTCAGTGCAGATTAGCTAATATGGAATCTGAAACAAGTGAAGGGGATTGCAAACCTTAAAAATATAAAAGCATCCCCAGCGACGAGCCTTTTCGAGCTAACAAAGACGCTCCAACCACTTTGAAGCAGATGCCTTCGTGGTTGGCCTGTCATTCACAAAATCACATAAATCAACGGAGAAAGAATAATCAAATAATGGACTAGTCTTCTTACTAAAAGCCAATATCGTGTCCCCCAGGAGGGAAAGTATAGGGTATTGCCGAGTAAGTATCATCTTGAAGATCCATGGCACATCAGAATAACAAAACATCTTCCTATCACCATATAAGCATCATCTTCCATATCCGTTGCACATAAGCATAACAACACGTCTTTTTAAATCAATAAAATTTGTACATCTCACAATCTTAAATAAAACCACACCAAAAAGAGAACAAGCCAGGCAACCCCCTAGTTCAATATATGTAGGTTTTCAGCAGACAATCTTCCAGGATTCTGCCGTTCCAAAATCATACCGTATAATGCACTATCACATCAAAAGGCATGGCATCTCAATTATCCCCAGCTGTTTAGTGTCCACTATACAACATATCACATCATCATCATTCTTGTTTCAAATACTCTCAAGAAAGCCCATTTGTGCCATAGACCATAGAGCAAATACGAAGTTCATCCATCAAGTACCTAGTATAGTTTTCTTATGACTATACAGTATTCAATCAAAAATACCACTCCCCCAAAGCAGGCGAGTAATAAACATAACCAGGGTCTCTTTTTCTTCTACTTTAATCTGTTATGCTACATGAAATATTTTAAAGATGATAAATAATGATGCAACATGCATATAAAGTCGGTTAAAAGTGTTTTAACAATTACCCCGGAAAATATGCCTGAAACGCCACTCCGTTCCATGCAAATCCTTGGCAACCAACTCTTGGGTAGGGGGTTGCCGCGACATGTCCTGCCAAATAGCAAGCACCAATAAAAATCCAACTTTTTAACAAACCGTATGAACAGAAAAAGAAAATAACCCGGCAAGAGTATCTAATCCTCCTAACCAGTGGGGGGAGGCAATCATCTGCATGACGTCTCAGCACAGAAAACCCACCATGAGTGCTGGTATCCGATGCAGTCAGGGTCTTGCAAAAGGAATGCACGTGAAATCGTGATGGAGGAGGAACCGGTTCTTTCGTCACAGCACTCTCATCTTGCTGGAATTTGACCACATCAAATAGTCATGGGTCCAACTCGACATCCATAGCTTTAAGATCAAGCAAAATTGGAATCATCGAAGTAAACTTACATTTTCGGGCATCAAAATTACTTGTGCAAACACCTCATCAGTGTCCAGCTCAGCCTGTACGCAGATATAACCATAAACCCATCATCAACAAAACTAAAACCATATATAGCCCAAAACCTTTTACACAACCAACCATGGCAACCCCAACCTAACCATCAATTGACCGATTGGAACCATCAACGAACCTTCAAGTGGACGTTGATCACACGGCAGAGGATCTTCGATGGAAGACTATACACAGGCATCTGCTGGTCCACCGCCTGATTAGTTGACGCCACAACCTGATCAAAAACCCAAGAAACGCCATCCTATATCAGCAGATTCAACATAAACCCATAAACAGAAACTTAATTGAAAAAAAAAACCCTCTCTAAAACAAACTACAACTTAAATGGACGAGAACAAGCTCTTCTAAGCTCAAACAAGCTAGAACAGAAGGAAGTTTTGGATATATTTATATACACGGGTGTCTATTTGGCTAATTTGGAAGTAAAATTATGAGAACTGAGAAAAATTATGATGAATCTGAGCTATAGAGAACAGAGAACTCTGAAAAATGCTTGTCCAGTGTTGTAAACAAACCTGCTCGATGTGGCCCTGAGGAAAATAGTAGACGAGCTCTCCCTCACGAGGCACAGTCACGAGCGGACCAGCACAAGCTCGCCAGAGCTCCGTGTAAAGCGCAGCATCAGCATCCACTGCACACGAAAAACACCAACCAGACGCTCAAAATAAAACCCTGATCACTTACACACGCCAATTTTCATCGGAAAACTCATAAATCGCCAGAATTACCTTTTGCGGCAACGGAACCCGACGGCATACCCTTTGACGCCTCCGAAACATCCTTCGGCTCGCTGTAACCGGACGAAAAAATCTCCCCTCTGATGTTGCCTTTGATTGAAACGTCTGATGAACCCATTTTCATGAACTCTCAACACAGATCTCTCATCTGAAAACCCCAAAATTCAGTTCTCTTCAAACAAACAACCCTCAAAAACCCTTCCAAAACACAAAAATCAACTCCAATTCCACCAAAACCCTTTTCAATTCTTCACCAATGAAACCGTTTCTCTCGACTTTCTCTCTCCAACATTAAACTCAATCATCAACCAATTCTCCCAATACCCACACCACTGTTCCTTTCTCTCTCTATATATATTAACAGCTATATACAATTCTCTCTCTATAAGTCTGAATGCCTATTGGATTTGCAGAGCAGCAGAACAAGATATGTACAGCACTCTTCATCGACTGGTACGTGAAAAAAGAGGAGAGAGAGAGAGACCTGCGTTAACAATCATTTCACCCGCGGTGAAATTGTAACCCCGTGTAACAACCGGCTACTTCCAGTACACACTGCTTTGCGACCGGTAATAGCCGGTGGATTCGACAGTGTGTGCGGGGACAAGGAAAAAAGGCTGCTTATTAAACGCCGTCAGGGGTTAACGTTAATGGTGTCAAGATCTGATTGGGTCGCCAATTGACGACGTTTGTCTTGTCTTGACTATATGTGGAGAGTTGTTTCTGTTTTTACGGGGAATTGGGCGTTGTCGTGGTATGAACAGGCAGTGTTGGATAGAGTGGGGTTGAATTAACTAGGGTCTTCAACCTATTTTACGAATAAGAATTATAGTGTTTTATTTTTTTATTCAATATTTTATAAAAAAGTATTTTTTTTTGTTTATTTTACTCAATCAGATGTGATATTTTTATTTGATTAATTGAATGAGAAGTCAAGTAGAAAGTCAAATAAATATTTTTATAACTATTAATTTTTAAATTATTTTAATAATTTAATTAATAATATGTACCAATTTGACAAAATAATAAATCAATAATACTAAGATTTAAAACAACTATAACAACAATTACAATAAAACATAAAAATCATGAATATCAATCCATCATAATTGTTACACAAATACACTAACAATTATCTTAAATTTAAACCACATGAGACACATTAAAATCATAATTATTCCAATAGATTACCAATTCACCAAAAATCAT